CGCATCAACACTGACGGAAAATTCCTATCGCAGCCATGAAGCCATGTGCCGCCTCGGAAAAGATTCTCGAATGCATTCCGCCGAAGCGGTGCCAGTAGATCCACGAATCGGCGAAAGCTTGTTCTGGCTTCATGCCAGAGCGAGATCGACGGAATTGGCAGCTTCGAGTCCAGCGCAGCGACGACACCCCGAAACGTTGAGGTTGAGATAGACGTCTCGTGTTGACTGTCCAGAGCAAACTCGCTGACGTTGAAGCTGTCACGATTGTTGCGTTGCTTTCGCTGTCAGCGGCTGGCTCGGTGGCACCTTTGCGGCTGATGGATCTCGCAGTTCCCTCCACCGGTAGGTCCTTCACGTAACCGAGACCTCAGCAAAACTCTTTTTCTTGTGGTGAGTACCTGCAATGGACAGGTACTTCGAAATAGTTCTCGCACGGGGAGCGGCGTGCTCACCAGAAGTCGTCCCTGTCGTTCGATTCCTTCAAGGTCTGGCCCACAAGGCCCCCTTGTAGGCCAGACCACCAGAACGGAGACTCTATCAATCGACAGGCTGACCAGATGTCGTGGCGGAACGACAGCCGAAAGAGCTCACTTCAACTGATTCCGTTGGTTTAGGCCAGGCAGCTTCATGCCGTGGTGGTGCCCCACATGGCTGTGAAAGCACCCATCCTACCTTTACCACGCCACTGACAGTCGCACGAGAGTTCCACCTGAACAGTTCAGGCACCTGATGTTGGGCACTGTCACCCCCTTCTTGTCAACTGCCAACTTAAGCACTTGGACAGTAGAGTTCATTCCTCAATTTGCTCTTCATCAGCAACAACGCCAAAACTTTCTTCTTCATCCAATTCAGCTCATCAAAATGAAGACGTGCCTTGCACTTGCTGCCACCACCCTCATCGTCGCCTCAACCTTCGACTCCGTCGTGGGCCTCGCCAAATACCTCGACGAGCTCCCGAACGGAAGCTCCTTCTCGCAGGAGCTCGGACACCCAGACAAGGACTCCTCTAAGTTTACGGACTTTGCAACAGCCTTCGCCGATGCCGGGCACTCGTGGACCGCCGAGTTCTGCGCCAAGACCTTTCCAGGCGCGTCGATGACCAACGGCGAGGCCTTCGGGGACCCGTGCTGCACGTGGAAGAAGGGCGGCACTCCAGATTTCACTGTGACGGCCTTCACGACGAGCCCTACCAAGGCCACCACTTGCGCATCGACAAGTCAGACGTCAACCGCTTCATCTACTGCTGCATCGACGGCATCGTCAACCGCCGCCTCGAGCGCTGGTAGCTCGACTTCGACCACGACGGATGCTCCCGTCACAACGGACGCGCCTGCTACAACGGACGCACCTGCTTCGACGGACGCCCCCGCTGCCACTGATGCTCCAGCCTCACCCACTATGCCCTCGACCCCGTCAGGAGGCTGTGCAGCGAAGGGTGCTGGTGGCAAAGGGCAGAGCAAGGGCAGCTACAGCTTCCGCCACTAAGCCGTAGAGTCAGCAGCGCCAACTTTTTGAGCGATAGAGTGGTGAACATCTGAGTGAATGTAGTGTAGTGTCTACGAGTAGACTCAAGCAAGGAGTATAGGTATCGAAGTAAATGTGCTTGTTCGAGTAACCCGCAGCTTCTATTTGCTGTTGCCATGGTCGTCATCAGCGTACTACTGTACACCAAAGTTCATACATTGTATCGACGACAATCATCAACATTGTTAGTAGATACTGATAACCATGGATTAACAATCAGCACCTTCACGTGCCGATACAAAGCACAATCGTAGTCGGACCACGCATGAAAGTAAGACAACTAACACTGCTTTAATACTTGTGGTTAAGGTGATGAAGTCTCCTGAAAAGTTTCGAATAGGATTCCTTGTTCTATTACAACAACGTCTAGAGACTTCGTTCTCTCTTTCTCTGTTTAACGACACCCAACATCCATGGATCAGATAAAGATCCAAGTGCAAGCGAGGTCGCTTAGTGACGGAACTTGCGGGCTCCCTTGGCAGCGCAACCGCCACCAGCAGCAGGAGGGGTCCAGCCACCCGAGGCAGGAGGTGTGCCCCAACTGGATCCGGTCGAAGGAGTCTCAGGAGTCTCAGGAGTCTCAGGAGTCTCAGGAGTCTCAGGAGTCTCAGGAGTCTCAGGAGTCTCGGCACCCGAGCCACCAGTGCTTGTGGCAGGGGCCTCCGTTGCGGGGGACATCTGTGACGGGTTGTCTTCGGTCGAAGGGGACTCAGGAGTCTCGGCACCCGAGCTCTCAGTCTCACCGCCCGAGCTTTCTGTCTCAGGGGCACCACCGGAGCTCTCCGTCTCACCGCCCGAGCTTTCAGTCTCTGTCGACGGGGTCTCAGCCGAAGGAGTCTCAGCACCTGAGCTCTCCGTCTCGGTTCCCGATCCCTGCGTCTCCGTCGACGGGGTCTCAGCCGAAGGAGTCTCAGCACCACCGCTGCCACCAGCGGCACTGCCACCAGCAGCACTGCCGCCACCGCCACCAGAAGCGCAAGTGGTAGCCTTGCCAGGAGTCGTCGTGAAAGCACTCACCGTGAAGTCCGGCTTGCCGCCCTTCTTCCACGTGCAACACGGGTCACCGAACGCCTCACCGTTCGTCATCGAAGCGCCAGGGAACGTAGCCTTGCAAAACTCAGCCGTCCACGTGTGGTCCGCGGCACCGAAAGCAGTACCGAACTTGGTGAACTTCGAGCTGTCCTTGCCCGGGTGGCCCAGCTCCTGCGTGAACAAGCTGCCGTTCGGGATCTCCTCGAGGTACGACTGCATGGCCGTGGTCGAGTCCATCGTGGTGGCCACGATAAGGGCGGAAGCAGCGAAAGCAGCGTACGTCTTCATGGTAGACTGTCTGTGTGTGGATCTGAAAGAAGCTGGCTAGAAGCTGTTTGGCGATGCGAAGCAAATTGCAGAATGGCAACCAGTGCGCACTCGTCTTTTTGTTGGTCTTTCCAGCTTGCCGTGCATCGAACTTCAAAGCCAAGTCGTCAGTCCGCTGGTGCTACCAAGATCTTCTGTCGGATGGGATTCCGGAGACAACCAGCCAGCGAGGGTATCGTTTCATGTTGGCTAGCCTAGCCGCTAGGATCTCGAACACGATGGGACTTTGGAATTAAGGACCAAGTGACGGGACAATAATCGTCTGAATGTTGTACGTTCGTTCATATTGCCTTGAAGACATTTTCTGCCAAAGCTTCGATCATTTACCAACGAAAATGCGTCGGGCGAACCACCAAAAGAAGATTGCAAAGGTGTGAAAAGTTGCTGGAACCGATGCACAGAAGTCTACTAGACTCAATATCTTTGACAGACTGCGGGCGGCTCGTTAATGGCAAGTCGTGGAAAGACTCGGTGAACTCGAAAACCAGGAGATTGACGCATCTTCCCCTTTTCGCCATGAACGGCATGTTTTTTTATTAATAATAAAAAACCGTTTTTACAAACGGATTAATTTTCTTCTAAAGTTTAATACATGATTGGTAACCACAAAATATATCACTGATTGAAAATTACGCAGTCGGCTTCGAAAGACGTAGATAGCCTTCATTGCCGCAAATAGGTTGAATTCAAAGCGTGTTGATACAGTACCAGTAGGTACATGTGCCATTCAGAGATTTTGGTGGTTCACGAGCACAGCCGCAAGGGCGGAAGACGAAGAGATGGTTTTCGTCGTACAATCGTCGGGACTTCTACGGACACCGCTTTGCATGAATGCACCGTCAGATTCCGTCGGTCGGAGTCCTGGGGATGTAGAGGCCTCGAAGTAGCAAATCGCTCCAAACGGGAAAGCCTCCGAATATAATACTTGATCGGTTTCTGCTGTCCTCGGCCTTTATCGCAAGTCTGGCACAAACAACATTATGGTGAAGGGTTAATCCTTTCATACATTAATGTTGTAGCTTAACCCTTCGCGGTGTGTTTATGGTATGCTCCGCCCAATTCGGCTCCAAACGCTTTGGTTAATATGTATTCTAACGAAATTCTTTTTTTGCTACGCTTTTAAGAGTAGAAGAACCCAACAATATTTGCTACAAACTGTATTTACGCGATGAATCCGCACGGGTCCCTATCAAAAGATGACGATGCAACTTCGAGAGTCTACCACTCAACAACAAAACACAGCTTAGAGAGACCTTTACGCTAGGCTAAAGCGAAGTATGGTTGCGATAGGGGATTAGTGCCCCAACCTCGGATTTGTCGCGTTTGACTGGAGAATTGCTCGAAACTTGAGTCTAAAAACGGTTGTTGACATATTTGTTCGTCGAGGGCAGATGGCACGCTGAACGACACAACTCGATAAAGAACACAGATTTGGCAGATTCCAAGATGACATTAATCGTGGACGAAAGTGCTCGCTGCACTTTGTACAAATTTCGATCTCAACAAGCGTTGGGCCGTGCCACAATTGTCAATCAAAACAACGACACAAGCACGCTGCTCTACTCACATGTCAAGGCAACATGAAGACATTCAACCTGCTTTAATTCGTGCAATTTCGCATGGCAACTACCGCCACCGATAATGTACGAGTCGTCCGCCGGAGCCATGATCGTCGTTGACATGTCCTGTACGTCGTCAAAGTAGTGGATGCGTTAGTTGTCGAAGATGAGCCGTTGAAGTAGATGTTGCCGATGTCGGAGTTGTGGAAGGTATCTGCGCAGAGCTCTTCAAAGATCGACTGGAGCGGTTGTTGCCTGAGTAGCCTGACCCCTGTGAGAAAAGAGAACCGTTGGAATGGCGTTGTCGATGCCGGCCGCGACAGCCAAACCAAATACAGTGGCAGTGGCTTGGAGACCTAGGGCTTCATGGTGCTTGTAAGAGAGGAAGTTGTTGGTTCTTAGCGGCAAATGCGCGGGTGATCATTCAGGTCATTCAAAAACGTGCCAGAAGAACTGCTGGCACTGATGGTCGTGCAATAATAATTTGTATCAATAGCGATACTCTGGTGCTGATAAATCTGATCGAAGCACAGAGCGCAGAGGTTTCAATTACAGAATTTAATGCATTGCCAAAGCTATCCGCGCGGGTAGCGTGCCAGTACTTCCCTGTGATTATGGTGCTCTCCTTGTAGCTGTCGGGCACGTTACGTGGTGGTGGCGTCGCGATCGGCACGGCCTCTAGCCTAGAGGCTCTAGGTGAGCCAGGGTCGTGGCTATTGATTTGGCTTTCAACACGCCGCTAATTTAGCTGTTCTTTATGACCAGCTGACGGAGTAAATTCCAAGTCGTCTGCGGTAAGGCAAGGTTTTTACAGACGGTACGATAAAAGTGTTTACAAGCGCTAGTAACGTTACGTATCGCGCAAGCTAATTTGCATGAATTCTGGTGGTGCATTATGAAAGGCAAGATTTCGACGTATGAGAATAGCATCTAAAATTGTGCGACTTGGGCATCAAAAACGGGTTAAATAGCTAGTAAAAACTAGCTGTGACGCTCTGCAAAAACGCTGTGCGTCGCATGCTTCAAAGAAGCGGCTTCACGAACTCTCCGCATTGTAAAGCAGTACCCATGCACTGCATCATGCAGCTACCGAAAGCGCGTCACGTGCGACGGTATCACGTCGATGGACGTGAGCTTGTACGTACCGATACCACTGGTGCCGCCTACATTCATGACAGGAATCCTGTGGTTTGGCTAACTGTATCGGTGCATCTAATATAATAGTACCGCCACACCGCTGTAGAGTGGTGAAACTGGTTGAAGAAATATAGCAACGAGGGTTGGCAATACATATAGATCGTCTTGCGGTCATCTAGTCATGCATTATTGTTAGTCTTTGCTGCTCGCATTCCCTATTCATGCGAATGAGATAGCAGATTGGTTTGTAGGGATTCTTCGAACGAGTGTCGGAACCGTGCGTACGCCGTCGGCAGCACACTTACGTCGCGCTTGAGGAAACTGTCTTGGATCCAGAACTGCACCACATTGAGGAAACTTGGACATACAATCATTACAAGCACCAATTCTGCGAACGGATACCCGCGCAGGGAATGGAACAGTAGTTCACCGAAGAGGCCGAGGGGCGTCGCTGCTGCAATCATGACGGACACCACGATGGCCTTGGAAAAGAGGATGATTACCAGCCACGCGACCAGTTGCAGCGCCCACACCCGATACGATGGCGGGCTTCCATAGTCACCGCTCTCCTGAATATTGACCCAATTCATGCTAAAGGCCAACTCTTGCTGCAGCCGGAGAAACGCGAGGCTCACAACCATACCGAGTGTACAGTCACTGAGGAAGTTGAGGAAGTACCAGGCACATTCATCCGTCACGGGCGGCATTTGAATAGACGCGAGGAGGTTCATGAAGTGGCCCGCGGTGGCACCGATCATCTGCTTGCCAACGTCCATCAGCCAAATCTGTAGTGGCCGCCGAGGACGTTCGACGTGGCGCTTGTACCAGAGTGTGGCGACGGCAATTAAACCTAGCAGCGCCTGGATGGCGTACGATGCTGCATTCGAGAACAGCGCGCATTGCTCCACATCGTCCTGTGCGAGCTCCGGCAACGGCATAACAGTGTGCAGCTTGCTTGTCGTTCAGGACGCTTGTGTGGCACTACTCTTTTTGCATCGCGAATCTACGATCTTTGTCTTGAAGGGTCGTTGACGTGAAAGGGTTAACCTTTTTGCAGAGCAAAATACTATTTCTCGTGTTGAAGAGCGGGTATCTCCGCTTCAAGCTTCGAGCACCGTAAATCGTTTACTCTGTTGGACTTTAATTATTCGTGGCATGCGCGACTTAGGTCGACTTGCGGCCCTTTTCGATTGTTCTATGCTGGATCTGGTTCAGAATTTGGAGCGAGCGCCGCGACGCGCCTGCCCCTGCTCCTGCGGATGGCGGCGTCTTCTTCTTCTTCTTGATAAGCATGGGGTGCGCGGTAGGTGTCAGTGATTGCTGCGCGGCAGTTCGATGGACGCCAACAGAGCGAGTTTTAAGCCAGTTCACTGGCTTGTTCGCTCCAGGAACGCTCGCTTCGGTGAAACTCTTGGAAGCGAACAACCGTGACTTCGGCCCCGTTGGACGCTGCGTATGACCTGTGGGGGTATCACGCTTGTGCGCTCTCGAAGCACTGGACGTCGGAGTCTTGTGACGAGAGCCTTCAGCCACAGGGGACATGAAGGTCGCGTCCGTGCTGCCCGTTGGTTTAAGAGGGAAGAGTCCGTTCTCGGTAGTCTCGAAGTATTCCAGCTCGTCCAGATGTTCGTAGATCTCACGGAACGTCGGACGCACTCCCCACGCCGTACAGCGCATAAAGAGACTGTAGTATGGACCCAACCGAGCCTTCGCAGCATCGGGTACTTGAGTCACAGTGACGTCCTGCAGCAGTTTGTGCAAGCTGCGCGTCTCCACGAATTCTTTTGGCACGATCTCCCCGACAAGTAAACGATACAAGATTTCTCGTCCGAAGGCGCCGACGTCGCAGTTCTTGTGAAAGCTGAACGAGCTGTCCAGGATCTTGGGTTCATCTGCTGGGAGCTTGATGCGGCCAAAGTCAGACAGCTTGATGTCTGGTTCCCAACTTTGTTCATAACCCTCAGGTGGCGTACGCATCAGAATGTTCCGACAAGCCAGATCACCGTGGGCGACGTTGATATCTTCGTGGAGCGTGATCATGGGCAAGCAGATCTGCTTCAGCATCGCCTTCGTGTCATCAAACGACAGCGTGTAGCGGCGGTGCTTTGACCCTCCCGAATTCACGCCGTATCGTCTTAAATAGTCGCTTAGCTTGCAATCCATCACCTCCAGTGCAATGCATGTGTGTTCAATGGCATCGCACAGACCAAGACACTGCAGGAACCCTTTCATGTGACGCACTCGACGTAAATAATGCAGTTCCAGAGCGGCGCGGTGCTTCGCTTCGTGTTCGGGAAACCCTTCGTGCGGTTTAGCGCGTTTCAGAGCAACCTTCTGTCCGTTGATCACCGCTGCAGTCACCTTGCCGTCAGTACCTTCGCCATACACACCTCCAGTGTATTCGACATCAGTCTCGCAGTTAAATAGGCCAACATCTCCAATCACCGACGTACTCGTGAACGCGCTGGACGTGCTGTCCGTCTGAGCTCTAGTTGCATCTGCTTCAGTGTGGGATACCATGCTGTTGCAGCTTTCTTGGGACAGCGGAGCGAGCTTATCGACGTGGCTGTGGACACTCGTAGATTCCTGAGAGAGACCAACTTCTTGCTGCGAGTCCATGGCTGCTCCGTCGTCTGCGCTGTGATTATCGTCTTCATCTTCCGCAGCGGGCTTCCTCTCCACCACTACACTCGATTTAAACTCAGTATCGTCATCCACGACTTCTGCCGACATGTCCTTCTCCTGGTCTTCTTGTGTCGGATCGTACACTAGTTCCTCGGTCTGGCTCAGTGGAAGGGAGATAGAGGCAGCAGTATATGGGCTTTGGAAGACCGGCTTCCGGGGTGGCGGGCTGGTGAAGGTCGTAGGTGTGCTAGTGAACGGCATCGTTCGTCGAGCTTGAGGACTCGTGAACGTCATTAGCCTACGTGCCTGCGGACTTGTAAAGTTAATTGGTCGTCGTGTCTGCGTTGCGGTCGCAGGAGACGACATTCGAGACGGAGCGGGTGCCTTCACGGGCGTAGGCGCTTCAAGTCGTTGCTGTAGCTTTTCGTTCGTCTTCAGGTTCTTTTCTAGCTTCTTCAGCGCGAGCGCTTTGTTCTCTGGACGTGGTGCCCGCTCTGGAGAGAAGGAGATCATGCGCTTCCTAGTCGAAGCCGACGAACTGCTCTGTGCGATGCCCCTTGCCACATTTTTCTTTGGTTTGCTAGCTATAATCACAGGCGGCGCACTTTTCTCTGGTGTCGGATCAATGCCTGACGTCTTGTGCTTTGTCTGATTAGTTGTCTCTACTGGCGAGTGCATGGACATTCGATCCGGTGACATGAGCTCAGGCAGTACACTCTTCTCTTCAGTCTCGATAGCCTCCTCAACGTCCTCCTTCTCTTCGTCCACAGGTTGATCCTCCACTGAATTCTCCTCAGGCTCAGGTTGAATGTTGCTATCCTCCGGCTCAACCGAAGGTTCCATTTCTTCGGACCCCACTTTCTCCTCTTGTGAATTTTGATCCATTGCTTCCTCCCCTTCAGGCACATAGTCATCGTCATCGTCATCGTCCTGTTCCTCCATCTCACTTGGAGACGTCTCCAGTTCCTGCTCCTGTGCTATTTGTTCCATTGTATCCTTTTGCTTCTTCTCTGGCGTATTTTCCGCTTCAATTTCCGCCTGGGCTGCCATAACCGCGTGCATGTACTCGCGGTTTTTCCTGCGCAAGTATCGGTCGGTTGTCCACGCAGACTGACGCTGTGGCTTCGGCTTCGGCTTCACCTTTGCTTCTGCGGGCTTGGCATTCTGGATACGCCTCCGCTTGCGCGGCTCACGATTCTCTTCCATCTCCAGCCGTTTCGAGGCGCGAGTTCGGCGTGTGGGCGGCATCCCTACTATCGAAAATGAAAGCGCGCAAATGCTTGAAAAAGTGGCGCGCAACAATTTCCCGATTTTTCGAGGAACCTGTCTTACAAAAACTAAGTAATCGTCTTCGGTTTTTATGATTTTTGCATATTTTGTTTCTGCTCCAGAACAACCATTGGCACAAGAGACGCAATATGGCGAACACTAACGGCACTGTTGTGGCGCTGTCCTTCAGCGCCGACATGTACAAGAAGCTGTTTCCAGCAGAGTACATGCGCAAGTGCCTAGCAAACAAGGTCCGGCCCGACTCGCGCACCATCGAGGCTACGCGCGCCGTACAACTGCAGACGGACGTGGTCCAGACTGCAGCCAGCTCTAGCCTCATCAAGCTCGGCAAGACGTCAGTGCTGACGGCAATCAAGCTAGCCGTGGGCACACCAGCAGTCAATACACCCGACCAGGGAGAGATTGGTGCGCTGACTGTATGAATTGGGGCATGGTGGTGATGCTGTTGACTAATATCCATTCATTGCAGCGATTCAGGTGCATTTGTCACCGTTATGCTCGAACCGGTTCACGGTGGGCCGTCCGTCGGAGGAGGCGCAAAGTATTGGTAGCCAGCTTACGAGAATTATTGTTGGGTATGCGGCTCTGCTGAATTTGAATGTGATGATCAGCAGACTAATGGTTTCATTGTGTCGTGGCTTGGGCAGCTCACGTGTGGTGGAGATGGAGAGTCTGAGCATCGTCAAGGGCCAGTCGGCGTGGAAACTTATGGTGGACGTGTACTGCGTGGATCACGACGGCAACGTGCTGGACGCTGCGCTCACGTCGATCATTGCGGCGCTGAAAACGTTGAAGCTGCCGGCCACATCCGTCAATGAGGCGGACAATGTGGTATCTATCGCACCAGGTGAGCTGCCGGCCATTGCCATGCATTGCGCTATTTCTACTGCATACTTAGCTAACTTCTGCATGCTTGCTCTTTGCAGACGGAGACGCGACGCCACTGCGAGTGGAGCACGGCGCGTTCGCGACCTCATTCGCCGTGGTGGACGGCGTGGTGCTTGTTGACCCGACGAGCGACGAGGAGGACCTGGCCAGCACCGTATTCAGCCTATCATACAGCACTGACGGCCAGCTCTGCGGTGTGCACAAGGCTGGTGGATCGATCGTGGCGCCCAACGTGATGCAACAATGCATGACGATCGCCAAGCAGAACAGCAAGGAGCTGGCAAAGCTGGTGGATGCTTCGACCTAGCGTGGCTCAAACATCCTATTGAACAGCATGGAAATAGACCCTTAATTTTCATATTGTATTCAGCGCACTGTAGCATTAGACTATGCTATAGCATAAATAGAACCATTTCAACCACGAACCTTTCATTTTCAATCGATTTTGAGCTTCGATGATATCTATTTTGGAGGTCGGTACGGACTCTCATACAACCGGCCTTTATATCGGACCGGCTTCATTTTGCGCAAATCTGATTCCTTGTCACTCGCAAAAAAGATCCCAAGCAGCAGTTCAGAGGTAGCCGACGGCTGTGGAAGCAGAGAGCTCAGCTCGAGAGGGAGGAGGGAGTACGGTCCGATTGCTCTGTGTGCAAGCGGCTGTAGCCAACAGAGCAGAATAAGTAGCGAGTCCGCCAGTGCCATGAACGAGGGCATACCGCTGTGGCATTCTCCCGCCAGTTCTGTGGCGTCCGTGGCTGGATCCATTGCGCGCGAGAGTTCCGTAGAGCCCGCACGGCAGTCGAGACGTGTGCGCAACAACGGGATATTGCCAACCGCAATGACGCCGCGTATGATCCGCACTGTGACTATTGCAGCTTTGCTGGTGGCCGTATCCTTCTACATCATCGGCGGCGCGATGCTGTCAACGTCGGTGCAAGGCGCAGCAACGTCTGGCACACCGAACGCGATCGTTGCAACTGCAGACACAACGAGTGCGGCTGCTGCGACGCTGAGAGATATCGAGCACGCTGAGGTGAAGAACAGTCGAACGGATGGCGTGGCAGACGACAGTGTGCTGTTCCTACCCGGATTCGGAGCTCCAAGGGAGAAGCAGGTGCGTCTGCTTAGAGGAGACGGCACCACGAGTGGCGTGTTCCTGTCAGTGCTGCTGCCATTCTGGCCGTTCGCATTGATCTGCGTAATTGTGTTGATCGTGTTGAGACTCATCGACGGCCCATGCCTCGACTATTATGTGTGGTATGTGAACAGTATGCTGGCCTGGTCGGAGTGAACAGCGTTAACGCAGGGAAACTCTTCTACTGGTTCTTCGAGACGCGCGCGCCCATGCAGATTGATGATCGAACGCCGCTGCTGCTCTGGCTCAATGGCGGGCCTGGCGCGTCGTCGATGACGGGATTGCTGACTGAAATGGGTCCTTATCGTCTCACGAAAGAGCGGAAGCTGATCCCGCACGAACATTCGTGGACCAATATTGGGCACATGCTGTTCTTCGACCAGCCCGTCGGTACAGGTTACTCGTCTGTGCGCGATGACATCGGCCACGTGGATACACAGGAGGAAGTTGCAGAGCAGCTCTATCGCGGTCTGCAGGGATTCTTCAGACGCCACCCAGAGTACAAACACAATCCGCTGTATGTGTGCGGGGAATCGTACGCTGGTAAATATGCTCCGTCCATCTCGCACTACATCCACGTTAAGAACAGTGGCCTACCAGACAGCGATGACGTTGTCATCAATTTGACTGGCGTTGCCATTGGCAACGGCGATATGTGGCCCGTGTTGCAGACCCGTTCCGTACCAGACTTTGCAATTGCATTGGGACTCATCGATTCGCAGCAGTACGAAGATGCAAACGCGCAGATCAGTGTATGCGAGGAGTTGCATCGACAGGGTCGAGATGTTGACGCCTTCCAGGTATGCCAATCCGTCACCCAGAAGATCTATGAGGCTGCGGGGAACCCATTTATTTATGACATCCGCCAGTCGGGCAATACCTTCGCGGACCTGAGTACACTGTTATCGAGCTACTTCAATGACGACGCTGTACGTCGAGCGCTGAATGTACCCCCTGGGACTCCGTGGACATCAGTGGACGGATCGATCTACGGTACGTCACCCTCAGCGCCGGCATTAGTTCGTCATCTGCTGCAGGACGAGATGCTGGATGTGCCTATCGACGTGTTCCGCGACTTGTTGGACAACTACAAGTTCCTCTTCTATGCTGGCAATATGGACGGCTCGTTGTGCAACAACTTGGGCGTAGGACGCATCATCGATCGCCTTGCCTGGACCGATACAACCAAGTACCGTGTAGCCAAGCGACAGCCTTGGATGGTGGACGGGAAGGTGGCGGGTCTGGCCAAGTCTGCAGGGAACATGAGCTACGTGGTGGTTCTGAACTCGGGTCACCTCGTCCCTTCAGACCAGCCAGAAGCCTCACTCGACATGATGCGGCGTTTTGTCAACAACGAGCCCTTTTTCACGCTCTCCCCGTAGCCACTTCAAAATACACTAAAGGATCCTAGAAAACGCTGAGCACCAGCCACCACACCTGTTCCTTGCGTTTTGTCAGGCAAGGAATAGCGGCAGGTTGTACACTTATACAACAGATCTGCAAGTAAATAAAGTCGACACATACTTGCACTAGCTGAAGCTTTTGACGTGTTATTGGTGTAGCCATGAAGACGCGTCGGGGAGATTGCTACACCATTTTTGCTGTTTAGACGACGACCATCCACTCGCGGATCGAGTAGGACGTGACGAGGTCGTTGAGCATGTACGGATCGGCCTTGACGAAGTCCTCGATGGTTTGTTTGTCCTCTACGTTGAAGATGAAGACACCGGCGTCCGGTGGGTTCACCAGTGCGCCTCCCATGACGACATGACCGTCCTTCTTGGCGTTTACAGCGCGCTCCAGGTGCTCAGCACGGAACGGACCGCGGCGATCCAGGATGTCGCCCACGTACTCGTAGCGCAGAATGTAGTACTTCTTGTCGGCGGCGGCGGACATGGCGCGAGACAGCGGAGAGAGCGAGCGGGAGGAGACTTGGCGAATGCTACGTGCAAGCATAATTCTAAACCCTAGCGTAAGCAGCTAATGTGCACATAAAAACATAATTATGTAAGTAATTTAAGATGGAATGAAAATATTAGTATATTATTTACTTTTTTTTTTTTTCTCGAATCTGTTCGGTAAGTAATCTACAGTACGAGCTATTTTGCACGCAATAAATTACGAATTTTATTTTATGTGTGGGTGGTGTTGGATTAAAACATCGATCCCATGGCGAATACGCGAGCGGAGGTGCTGCGTCTGTACCGCGCTATCTACCGGGTGCGTGGCCATTGTGGAGCATTAGTATGCGCTAACCACGAGTGGAGGTGCTGGAGAATATGACAATATCTTATTTTGCTTGCTTTACGCACTGCAGGCGGCCGGGAAGATGCCGACACGAGACCGCACCAACTACGTACGTCGCCGACTTCGTCACGAATACGACCAGACTCGTGAAGAGATTAATCCGGAGAGAATCAGGTACCCTTCAGTATATAATGCTATATGTTCTTCGGAGACGTACAATGCTAACGACCTGTTGTCGTTGCCAGTTTCCTGCTTCGTCTCGCGGAGACGCAGTTGGACACGGTGGAGGTACAGGCGCAGCATTTAAAGTCCACCTTCTCCAGCCCAGACTATCATCGCACATAGACCGCCGGTGACCAATAGAATGTCACAGTGGCAACCTCTAAGAACTCGTCGTGCTGTTTCCGATCCTCATTTGCTGTTCACGGGTGCTAACGTAGGCGAGTATGTTGTTGTCCCAGGTCGTGTTGGTTTAGACAGCGCTCGATGCTCCGTCGGCGAAGCTGATGCATTAACACTGACTAGACATACTACGTAGCTGACAAGGACTGTGAATAATGACGTAGTTAATTAAGCACGATATCTCGTCTCCAAAGCCGAGTTACTTTTGATACTTCATCTTTTGGTTGGGACCGGAATTCCGACACAAAATGATTATACTGGGAACATTGGACAGCCCTCTACGGATTAAGTCCACTGTATTGCGTAACTCGGGTGATGTTATCTCGGTCAACATTCAGCTTACACCTTAATGTGAGCTGATTGTTGGGCGAATGTTGTACTGACGGGGTATCACAAACTCACACTTTTTCTGCGTCGGTGCCTAACGTGGAGTTGCACTTCGCTTCGAGACGAACTATCACCTGCCGAGCGAAAGAAACGGAGGCAAGCGGAAAACATGAGCGACAACAGATGAAGAAAGGTATCCGACCGAGTCGTTTCTCGTTACAGCTACTCTGTCGCTTTGCTCAATGTTTGTTCGTTCAGTTGGTGGCGAGCTACTCACCAAGCCGACCGTGCCGAAGCAGAATCACCTAGACCAGAAGGTCGTTTATGTGTGGAAGTATCGAGAGTATAGTAAGAGTAGGCAACGCTCAAGTTATTCGGGCTACACCTCGTACTGCCCCGGTCCTATCTGTGGCCGCAGATGGGTTCCGGTGGGCGTACACCGAGCGCTCTAAACAGGCACTAACCACCGAAATATATATGTAGCTGCTCGATACACGTGTGTTCCCTAGCAGCCGTGCGGATGTGGGGTGGCTCCTTCGATCTACCGGTCGTCCAAGGCTGCGTCAGTGGGCTATGATACTGCTTAGCGGGCTACGATACCGCAGGGGCTAAACGACCCTATTGGACTGCCAGCACTTGGAGGGCAGGCTGCAACACTTCACTCGACCGTACGGGGCTTCGATACCCGTCTCCACACACTCCGGAGCTACTCCACGAACAACTTAAGCACTACTTTGTCTTTATCCTGCTTCTCTATAGTAGCTGCCGCCAACCTCACCGTAGTAAACTCAACGCTTTCAAGGCACTCCAACTTGTTGTCGGTAACTCAGTCGTCCTGCTAGCTTCGCAGCTAATTCAAGACTGCCCTATACTACAAATGCATCTGCCTTCACTGGATTCTCGCGGCTCTTCGGGCTTCGAGATCTTCAACAGCTGCGCCTCCTCACGTTCGATCTCAGCCGCTCAATATCACTGTCATCGCCCCTCTGTCGTCTGTACTGCTTTGCTCCTTCGTCGCCTGGGTCATCTCTCCTTGAAGATGGCCTCAGCAGTGCCACCGTCTGCTGTCGTCGTGGGTGACGCTGTCGCCACGACACTGCGTCTCCTGGCCTCCGGCTACTCGTCCTACTGCTCTTCCTGTTGCTGTCTTGGTGATCCTTCGGCGTCTTCTCCTTCTTCGCCATCTCCCTGTCTTGGTGCTTGTCGTACTCTTCTTGTCATCTTCGTCAGCCCCACCTTCTGCTCTGTACTGCATCTGCACCACAGTCATCCCCACAGTATTTCATACTGTTACTGTATCAAAGACAAGTATATGACGAAAATCCAGCAGGTGTAAATAGTTTTCAAGTGGCACAGGTAAGTGCTTGACATGTTGCATTTATTGCGCGGGGGGCCCAGTGAAGCAAATATGGAATCTCAAAGAAATGATGAACGCTCTAATCTCTCTCGAAGTCGGTCCTGTTGCGAAGACATATCTCGGAAGAATCTTTTTACTGGCCCTCGCTCATTCCCTTTAAGGCTTTCTGCGGCTCGTACGATGAACGCGTTGCGAAAAACCACAGCACTGTTGGGCGGCGCTTCGCCTCCACGTTTGGTGTAGTCTTCGACGTCGATGATGTGCTGTTGCACGGCAAGACTTTAATCCCAGGCGCTCGAGAGGTGCTGCTAGAACTGGAGGCGACCAACACCCCGTTCGCCGTCATGACAAACGGCGGTGGATACCGGAAGGACAATCAGGCGCGGCAGATCGAGGGCTCCGGCGTGTTTGTCCCCACCGAACCCATGAGAATGAGCCACACGCCGATGCACGAACTGGCACACAAACACCGGGTACTGGCCGTCGGTAAGGACTGCGTCGAGATCCGCAAAGTCATGGCCAACTACGGCTTTAACTACGTGGGCACTGTAGACCAATTACACCGCTATCTCCACAACGTACCTGAACGTCAAGGCACAGGACCCTTTGAACCACGACAGACGCTTCGACTCTGGCGAACAGTCAAAGTACAGCTGAACCGCGACTTGCTCTCACTTATTGTTACTGGTGCGGTGGGGGGTACCCCCCCCCCCCCCTTCAGATTTGAAAAAGGACATCAGTTTAAAATTCAAATGCGTTCAAACGGCTGCGGGAATCGCTCCAGTACAACGAGGCTACATGAATAAAAATATGCATTCCCAGCTAAGCCGAAGACAATCTAGTTGTTCGAAGAGCCACCAACATAATGACACTCACACCTTGGGCTGTTTTGTGCAGTACACGAAAGTGCACAAAAGTACTTTCGTGCAGTTTCGTGCACTTGCATTTAATATTTAATAGAAGTACGTAATTAGCTCATACCAACAAGACATCTTTAGTGGACGTCCTGATCGACTCGCGGTGTCAACCAAGGCAATCCAAGCAGAAAATATTCTAGGACTCGCACGTAGTATACGTGGATATTGCTAAAGTCTACTTTGACTGGAATAGCTTAAAGCCAAACAATATAAACTACTTGTTTTGCAGTCTTCTGCACCAGAGGAAACTCTTTTTTTTTCTCTTCTATTACAAAATCGCTCTTGGCCAGACACATTTCTAAAAAATTCTAAATTTATTTGGTTTGTTTTGCGGTTTATATACTTCATATAGTATTGCTGCCGTGTAGGAAAAATAGACTACTATTCCGAACGTGGTACGAACCGCAAAGGCTGCTGCATCTAACATAACATAATCAGAACGACAGCTAGTTGCAGCAACTACAAGAACGCTGAATTATCCTTAGTAAAGAGTAATAAAAAAACAAAACAAAACAAACAGGATAGCTCGAATATTTCAAGACAGGAGAGGGAGGATGAGTGCTTGGGGGCGGGCGTGGAGAACTAAAAGTGGCCTCCCACGTCCAAATGCCTGGCAGCCACACTGCCCCCTTCATTACGAGTATATCCTGTCTAAGTAGATATTTCCTCACTAACAGGACTGGTCTCAGCACTACCGGTACTAATTGTGACCCCAAGGTTACGGTACGCTTACTAACGGATTTGAGTATGGTACCAAATTATGGGTACAGTTGATGGTAAGTTTACGGTACAGTTTACGGGACGGATCATTGTGACTAATACAGGCTGAAGGAATGGACACAAGAGAGTGTAGATATCCTCCAGAGTCTAATTAACAATGTCACTTTTCATTTTACCCAAGAACTACCAAGCTTCCTCCTAAAACGTTACACTAATCCGTTTCCACCAACCAAGCAATTTTGCAGATCTATCGGAGAGCCTAGTGTGTAAAACCGCCAAATACACTCAGGCTGTCAATACGTATTCTCGCTCGCTCTGAGAAAGTTTTTTTTCTTGATAATGCATGACTGATGTTTCATTGAATATCACTACCGTCCAAAAAAAAACTACTTTAGCTTGCTTTCCCAGCCTATGTGTAACCCTTGTTCTCGTCACTACCAGCCAAAATCCTCTAGTTATAATTTGTCTGTCATCAATTGAGTTAAATGGCAATGGAAACTTCGCATATGATGGTTATTGTGTGCTAGTTATTGCCAATATAAATTTATGCAGACTAGATACAATAACAAGCATATGAGTGGCAAAAGAATGGTTGTATTTTTTTCTTCAGTTGAAGTTTAAAACTGTATTTACAGCTATAACCTTGAAATCCGCAATGTAGGCAAGTCTTTCCTTACTGTAATTCTGGCCATCACTAGACGCAAAACGAAGGGCAGCTGAAACACAGAATACTGTAACTAATTGCAAAATGTAGCTCAATGTCACCGTCAATTTTTAAAATGTAATAATATTGAAGTTTTAGATAGCATTTCAGACTATTTTTGGTGTTCACAATTAGTCTGTGTTCAAAGTTAGTCTGTGTCGCTTGATGACAGGCTATTTATTGTAAGCACTTTGAATATTTGTTGGCATAAATTAGTCTGGCCCAGACTAATTACTGTAACTACTGTAATTCTCTGGATATTTATATCCAGAGTCTTAGGTGGGTTCGAGACCCCTCGAAGATCCTATATAAACAAATATTTTTCTGCTTGTGT